GTCAGTGTCTGCCAGAGTATTTGCTTCCAGTTTCTGGAAGCAAGATGGGTTCAAAGATGCATTATGGTATCCATTATGCCTTCATTGCACCAGCTTCTCATCTCCATGCCAGTTCTCTTGCAATGCAACTCAGAAGCCAGACAAATGGCTTTTCCCATCTCCATCCCCTTGCCTTGCTTCAGTGACCTTCCTGGGATGTTGCTCCCATGTTCCTTCTTTGCTAATGGTGTGACAGACCCACCAGGACGACCATGGGACCAGCTCCCATCCATTTGCTGTGGACTGTGGAGGACACGTAGGGACTCACCTTCCACACAGGAGTGTCTGGTTTGGGAGAATGGGGAAAGCAGGGGACTTATTAAATCCTTTGGAAGAATTTAGAATTTGGAAAAATTTGGAAGATTTAGAGACTGCAGGACATTCCTAGTCAAAGGAAAATTATTTAGTAGGTTGATATTTTTTCCTAGCTTCAATATCTCATGCTGCCCAATGCTTTGCACTTACTAAGCTGCCCTTACAGTCAATATCTTCAGCTCAGAACCAGTGCAGTGTGAGCTATAAACTGCTGCTATCAGTCCTGTGATTCCCATGCCCTCCGGATTGCTCTTGCCCTGGACACTCAGACAGGAACCAGCCTGGGCAGGGCAGGAGGATCAGAGAAAGAGATAAAATTAACTGGAGGGTAAACTTTGGGAATGACATGTTGGACAGGAATCAGGCGGAGCCTTTGGTAATGGGGCAGTATATATCCCATAGGTCAGACACCATGTCTGGGTGTCAAAGTGGAAAGAGGTGAGAAAGTTAGCTTGTGTGTGTTCATGCAAACATATTTACTGCCTCTTCAGGGTTGCCTTACATTCAAAATCCATGGTACAGACTCTCTCCCAGCAGTGTTTGTGGAATCCAGTATTTGTTTCCAGGGTGCAAATGGCATGTGGAGAGTACTTCCCCGGCTCTTGCACTGTTCTGCCTGAGGTGCGGTTTTCTTCTGGTCTGCCTGTTCTTCCCTGCTGCTCCTATCCTTCCTGCTTGTTTTCCACATTCTGCAGCCAGGCAATGTGCTATGATATTTTCTTCCAAATGAAATTTCCTACAGTAGTAAAAAAGGGAAAATGTGGTTTGTGCTGCAACTTAGAAATGCCCTATGACTCTACCTCACACACTCCTCCCTGAAAGCATGTGGTTACCTCTGCAGGAAGGTCTGGCAAAGCCTAGGTGTCAGTGTTACAGGGCTGTGGAGTCTTAGGGTCTCTAATTCCTTCTCAGATGAAGAGTGACATTTCTTCACAGGCTGTCAAAGCCTTAGCACCAGCTAATCCAGCAGAAAGGGGCAAGTGGGGGTATTAAGAGGTAAATCAGTGACAGAGGGGTAATTCTAGCTGGGAAAGAGCCACTGATGGAGTTTTCTCCGCTGCTTCACTCTGCCTGTAGCTGCAAGCCTCCTGTTTCTTGCAGAAAAAAAAAAAGGAGGCTTTGAAACATGTTTGCAAACCCTTTGTCCTCCTCCTGGTATCATCTGATCCCTGCTATAGGAATCTGTGCTTAGGTGGGTTATATAAAGGGAAGAAGCAGCTTCCCAGTACAAAACCCACGGGATGGATGGATTGTGCCAGGGAGGCACCAGCTGAACAATTTGTGCAGCTCCTAGGCAGCTAACAAGCCTTTATCTGGTAACGTGCCAGGGCACAGTGGCTTCGGGGGGAGGTCAGATGCCAGACACAGATCATGCTCCTAACAGAGAGCAACCTCTGTGCCACAACAGGAGCTGACTCTGTTCCCAAAGGATGCACAGCAAATTCCTCATGAACCTCCCTGGGAACTGGACTGTTGTATGGCCATATGCGATCTTCACCACTGCAAAACTTTTAATTCTTGGTGTGTTTTCACAGCAGCAAAGACCTGGCTGGTGTTCCTCCTTGCCCACTGTGCACTCGGCACTGGGCAGAGACTCCTGCTGTGGTCCTTATGACTCCCCATGTGTTCTTGGGTAATCTGATGCATTATAGTCATTATATTTAACTGGATTAGATGACTGTTACTTCAGTTACTGTTACTGTTTTGCATTGATCATATTTATAGGGCTGCAGAATCAAGGTACAACTTTTAAGGTCTGCAGCCCTGGACCTTGTAGGTCAAAGTAACCCTGGATAAAGCAGAGCATCACTCATCGGTACCAGTGCTTCCAGGAGACCATACTGGCATCTCCCTGCAGGGCAGCATTTGGCATGGCAAACAGAAACCCCACTTCCCCGCACCTCAAATTTTATTTTGACAGCAGTGTAGTGTACCAAAAATAATCTGATTTAGGGGAATAGGGCCAGGGAGAAGATCCTAAACTCTTCTGCCTGAAGAGGGGGCAGTTCACACGGCTGTCAGTTCCTGCAAGCCTAGGAGCTGAAAAAAGAAATGTTTAAACCCTGTGTGTTCAGTGACTGGAGGATGTAATTTGTCACAGCCTGGGTTGCTGAACCTGCTAGATACCTGCCTCATTGGGCTTTCTACTCATGCAGCAAGGTGGGCACTCTGCACTTCTGGCGATGCTGGGGCACACACTGGTGCTATCCCAGCGCATGTAAGCCATGTTCAAGAACTGAGACAAACTTTGCCACACATCCCAGCTTTGAAAAAGCAAGTGCAAAAGCCTGTCCATGCACACCCTAGCCCCACTGCAAGCACAGCTCCATGCCCCAGTGCCCTGAGGGCACCCTGCCAGCCTCCCCAAAGCTGCCTCTCCACCTTCCCCATGGCAGGCTCTGCCCATGGGGGTCCCTGTTTCCCCAGCAGCCTGGCAGGCAGGAGGGGTGCTGGCTCTGAGGAAAGCTGCCAGCAGTTTAGCTGCTGTTATTATGGCATCAGTAAACACCTTCCCATAGCTGGCCAAAGTCCAGTGCTGGCATCAGCTCCAGGGCTGTGACACAGCCTGCGCCCCAGGACTATCCTGTTCATGCCAGGTGCCAGCCTCACTGCCCACAGAGGGAGCCAGGCAAACCCTCTGCTCATCCTGATCCAGCTTTGGGGTATTTGTGCGGACCCAGAGAGCAGTCCCCCTGTGATGCTGATTCAGCCACAGTGAGTAGCACAAGGCATAGGCCTACACCCTCCACTTCGCACAGGTCTTGCTTGTCAAGACAGTGCCTTCTCTGTGCCCCTCTTCTTTGAGTCCAGAGGATGTCTCTGAGGATGCACACACAAAGCACCTTGTTAGCCAGACTTAAGGAGGATGAATATTGAAAAATGTTAAGAAATTGAGCCCTTCCATCAGAATCTCTTCAACTGCAGCTGGTCTCAGCTGTGCAATCATGCTGCACATTCAGATGAGCTAAAATTAACTGTGTTCCTATGCAAAGGCTGTGGTGGAGCTGTGCTTGGAGCAGTGCAGCATTAACTGCTGCTGCTGGTTGTTAAGTGTTAGTGAATGGCCAAAGCTAACTCCTAACAGCCTTTGTCCCAAAGATGAACCTTTTCAAAAGAAACGTTTCTGGAGGCAGAAACAGGCAAAATGAATCTCCTGAAGACTCAGGCTGTGCAATGGCTGAGGTAAAGACTATGCTTGCACGGGCATGTGGAACTTCTCCCTTTTTCTGCAGCCCCAGGATGTGTGGGAAGGCTTGCAAAGCCCCCACTGACTCAGCCCCCACCATACTGCCCTGAAAACACAATCCCAGCAAAGGAAAATACAAGTCTTTGCTTGGTGTCTGGCTGCTTACGGATGTCAGTTGGATGAACAAAGATATTCATATTGCTTGGAGACCCTGGGCATCCTCCAGCCCCTCTGCAAGGTGCACAGCAGGGAGCAGCTTGCCCTGCAAGGCTATGAATGACCCTCCAGCCCGGGTACAGGGAGTTCCAAGTAAGCTCTTTGGAAGTAGTGAGGAACTCCAGCACATGCACTAAAAATAAGGAAACAGCAGGTGAAAAATAAATCACTTGCAGGGGCCCCCAGCTGGGAGGCTGAGCCAGGAGGCTCCTGCATGCCCTGGTTTACTGAGCCCTGATTTGTGGTCCATCCTCAGCCACACTCATTGAACTCCTCGGGCCCCAGCTTGTCTGGCTGGAAAACTGAGTAGAATGAAAAGCGGGATGTCAAGGCTGAGCTTAGCTTTTCCTTCTGCAGATAAATCACTGGGAATTGAGGAAATTGGCTGTGTGTGTTTGCGAACAGCTCGCTTTCAGCATGCCAAACCTGCCTAAACAGGGCAACTCTGCCAGGCCAGCTGCATGGATGTAGTGGGAGCATGAGCAAATCCCCTACACTGGCCTTGACCTCAGAGGAAGATGATGTTAGCCCAAAGAGCAAGTCCACAGCAGCGAGGTGGCAGCAGGGAGAGGGAGCAGAGCATAAGCCAGTGGTGTGCAGGGACTCTCCAGCTTCTGCTGGAGTGGAGGGACTGTCCAGCTTCTGCTTCTGCAGTATTTGCCATGTCCTTGGCACCTGGGTTGCACCAATGCTCTCCATCAGGTACTAGGGGAACTATGTAAATCAACTAAAAAGAAAAGAGACAAGTTTTTTCTTCAAGCATCTTCCAATCACTGGTGCAAGAAGTGTTGGGTTTTGGGGTTTGGTTGTTTTCTTTCCTTTCCATGTAAGAAATCTTTTACTTTGTGCTTCTGCATGCTGTGCCATCCCAGTCTGTTTTGGGTGAATGGGGTTGTTGTCCAACAGCCTCACCAATGTTCCCAGGATGTTCGGGAGTATAGTGCTCTGTGTAAAGGCAAATGCAGCTTATTTTCCCTTCTCCAGATGCTGGGAAGTTGAGAGGGGTGATCTATTTTAGCTGGTAAAGTAAATGAGCCAGAGAAGCAAGCTGAGCTTGTGGATATTCAGATCATAGCAAGTGTCTGTAAGTGTTTTCCATGGTAAAGAGTTTATCTAGAAGCACCTTTGCTATTTGACACTCATTAGGCTTGACTTGGGGTATCTCGGTTACTAAGTGCTTAACAGAGGAAGCTCAAGGGGACAGAGTAGTAACTGCACCCTCCTCGTCTCATTTTTCTTGCAGATCCCAGCAGCAGGAGCAGAGTTTACGGTAGTTTCTGTTCCCGTCTATTCTGGAACTGAAGCCGTAAAAACAAATGGAGGATGATTACACCACGCACTTGCAAGCACTGAGGAATGGTGTGGATGCGAGAAGCAGAAGTAAAATTGCTCATATAGTGTTTTTCTGACTGCCTGCCAGAGCTGCATCTGCTCTTCAGCCAACGCAGTGTAAGACCGCTAGCTGGCTATTATATGAGAAGAATTCAAGTAATTTTTGTCACGTGGAGGAAAAGGGAGCAGAGACCAACCCTGATAGCTTTTCTGAGCTGAAAACTCATTTTCACGTCCATTGGCTGCTATGTCAAAGATATTAATGCATGGATTTAAAAAAATACATGTATTTTTTTAGAGAAGTGCTTTCTAAAGCTTTTATAATTTGAGGAGTTAACCAGCATGGGCAAACCAAGCAAGCAGCAAGACAGGCAGCTGTTGTCATGAGGTGAGCTTTTGTCCTCAGTCTTATGCTTCTTCAGTGAACCTCTGCAAACATGACCAGTTTGCTTTCATGGGGACAAAACTTCCATGGACCAAACAGTCTATTGCCAAGTGTTCAGGCAGGCAGGAGTACATGAAGCTGTGTAAGAAAGACCTGCTATTTAACCCCTACTCTAGGAACATACATGTAAGGGTTTTCACTGTGGTTTCCTGAGGGGTTCTTCACTGCTGAAAGCAAAGCTCGAAAGGACTCTGGAGCTGTGCAGAAGACAACATCAAAAGCCTTTTAGAAGCCTGCAGTCTTGGATTGAACAGATCCTAAAATCCTATTCCTGGTGCCCCACAGCACCATTGTCCACAGCATGAATGTAAATCAAATCCCACACACCCCACACCCCCCGCTTCACTCTCACTTATGTACTCCAAATCCCCTTATCCCCTGTGTTTATACAATAGTTAGGGTTGGAAAGGACCTTTAGATCATCAAGTTCCAAACCCCCTGCCGTGGGCAGGGACACCTCACACTAGACCATATCACCCAAGGTTCTGTCCAACCTGGCCTTGAACACTGCCAGGGATGGAGCATTCACAACTTCCTTGGGCAACCCATTCCAGTGCCTCACCACCCTAACAGGAAAGAATTTCCTCCTTATATCCAATCTAAACTTCCCCTGTTTAAGTTTTAACCCATTACCCCTTGTCCTATCACTACAGTCCCTAATGAAGAGTCCCTCTCCAGCATCCCTATAGGCCCCCTTCAGATACTGGAAGGCTGCTATGAGGTCTCCACGCAGCCTTCTCTTCTCCAGGCTGAACAGCCCCAACTTCCTCAGCCTCTCTTCATACATGAGGTGCTCCAGTCCCCTGATCATCCTCATGGCCCTTCTCTGGACTTGTTCCAACAGTTCCATGTCCTTTTTATGTTGAGGACACCAGAACTGCACACAATACTCCAGGTGAGGTCTCACAAGAGCAGAGTAGAGGGGCAGGATCACCTAATTCGACCTGCTGGTCACACTCCTTTTGATGCAGCCCAGGATACGGTTGGCTTTCTGGGCTGCGAGCGCACGCTGCTGGCTCATGTTAAGTTGCTCATCGACCAAATATATATTACCCAAATTATACTACCAGAATTATACTACCCAAATGAACTATTCTGAGTACTGGGCCACATAAAAGGCAAAAATATCCATTAAAACCAGACCTGTTAAAAAGAAATAAAGCAAGAAGGTGACAAGCAGAACAGCCACAGCACAGCTGCTGTTGCTGATGCCAGAAAGATGTTTGCAGAAGAGCAAGAAGAGCTGGTGAGAAATTTTGTCCAGTCCCACCTCCCAGACTTCAGCAGATCTTGCTGCTGGCCCATCATGGAGGTGGGAAGGACAGAAAAGCATGTGTGAACATGGTCCCTTGCAGCATCTTGGAGACAGCTGGGTTCCTGGTGAAACTGCTCAGGAGGCCCTCAGGACCTTCCAAACACTGGGCTGGGAGAGCCTTCTACTGCCTTTTCCCCTCCTTTCTTCCCATCTCTCAGCATCACCTCTTCAGAGAGCTAGGACCAGTTTAAACCTGCTTATTTGAAGCCAGGGCAGGGAGGAAGGAGGAGAAACACAATTACTGGGTCAGAGATTGATCTCCTGCAAGGTGCCTGGCATGCAGAGTGTCTGCTGAAACAAAAATCACCATTCATCTAGCCCAGATAATTTCATAAATGGCTCTGGATGCAGGGATGAAATATGGCCATTCCCAAGGAGGTGCCTGCATTCTGATGGATGCCACAGACAGCTGCTCTGTTTGGTATAAGCAGGGCTCTTCTCTGCCCAGAGCTGTAGGACAGACCCCAACAGCTCCAGACACAGCCCAAAAAGAGCACTTCCAATATACCCATCCCGGGTGGTGGCATGGGGGATGGATCCATCATGAGCCTGGTGGCAGTTGTCCCCTTGGGCTTGTCACTTGGTGTCTAATCCCAAGGGACACACTGGGTGGTTTTGGAGGCTGGGAGAAAGACAGATGTGGGTCTCTGAGCTGAGCTATGTCTCTGTGTCATGTGTTTTAAATTGCAATGTGAAAAAACACTAATTCCGTTTAATTAGGAGGATCCCAAGGCCTGCTGTGCTCTGGTTTGGCCTGGAGTAGGGAACTAAGCTAGAGGGACATACAAGCAGTAAAACATAATTTTGGGATTATAGGCATCAATCAGTGCTGTAGGTATGTTCTTGTGTGCCCTGCCTGTGGGCTTTGGGATACAATACAGGGACCAGACTGTGTCTCCTACCCAAACTCACCCCATGCTGCAGTCTTGGGGTTTGGGCTAAGGCAGGATTAGTCCCATGTCTTTGCACCATGCTGTGGTGCCTGCAACATGTCGGCATATCAGTTTCTTAGGGAAATTATCACCCGCAGAGCATGGAGGACTCCAAGGAGTGCTGGCCTGGACCTGTGAGCAGGGGAGAGCTGTTGAAGGCAGCAGGATGTGCAGAAGACATGCTCCAGGGCAGCAGGATGGAAACAGGAGCCGAAGCCAAGGCTGCACTGGGCAAGGATGAGCTCCCCAAGTACCAGCATGTGCCAGGTGGCCTGTGCCCACCTGCACAGCTCAGCCTACACTGGGAGGGAGCAGACAGCACCAGGCACGTCCTGGGCTTCTTTCCAGACCTGCGACTTACAGTTGTGTAATCCTCCACAGAGCAAGTCACATCCACCCTGGCTTGCCAGGTAATCCCCCCAGCATGAATGAGGAGCTAGGGGCTGCAGCACTGGGTTTGCTGGCAGCAAGGCTTATAACATAGCCTTGCTCTGCTTTGTACTGTCCATCCCCTCTGAGATGGAATGTGCAGCTGGAAGATATGACATGGCGGACTGTGGCCATTTCTTCCTGGTCTGGAAAATGGTCCCCATGAAAAACAAGGGAAATTCAGGGAGCCACCAGTGCTCACTTGCCAAGGAGGCATCAGGACATACCAAATGATGCATCCCAGCTGTGCTTCTCCTTATGAACCCAGCCCAAATTTTCACGGCCATCTCAGTAAACGGGCACACTGCTTGCTTTATTTGCAGATAACACCAGCAGCCATCAAAGTCCAAATGAAATGCCAGGCAAAACCAGCCCTAGTTCCAAAGCATGGTAGGACAGCAGTCACCTCCCCGTGGCTCCCTGCAGCGCTGTGCCAGCACCACTCACTCCTCTCTGGGAAGCGGAGAGGTAACCAGAGGGGTTATGCTAATTCAGCTGGTCCCATCCTGCCCCCACGGCCGTGTCCCACTGCTGCAAGACGTCATCCCCACTGTGGTCCCTACTACACATCCTGCAGGGCTCCTCCACATGCTCCCTCTCTCTTGGGGCTTCCCCGTGCCTCAGTCTTGGTTGGCAGATGGCATTTCCACATTTCCTCCTTGCTTACCCAGGGAGCACGTCTCACATCTTAAACTCACTCCAGGATACCACCACCTCCCTGGCCCAACAGGGCTGTGTGAGCTGCACCCCTCACACAGCTAAGGCTGCATTTCTCAGGGGAATTTCAAAATTCGGGGAATTTCCCAAAAGGGGGACGGCTGCCAGTGAGGCAGTGTCCAGGAGAGGGCAGGGTTAGCCGCCCCGCACTGCAGCACAGCCCCGGCATTTCAGATCTCAGCGAGCCTGCCACTGCCATTATTTCCAGTTCAGAGAGAGCTTTGCCTTTTCTACAGCTCTTCTTTTTCTGTGAGCTTAAACCCCACTTACAGCTGTGTGGTTTGTGCAGTTTTTTGCCTTTCCAGCCCCAGGCTGTCCCTGCAGAGCCAGGGGCCGGCAGGCACCTTGTTTACCCTGTGTTCCTGGTACTGAGCCATCACATCACTGAGGCTGCTCTTTCAAGAGGCAACGTGTGCTCCGGTGGGGCAGAGAAAATGCCTTACATTAATCGAGGGATTGGTTGCAAATAGTGTTGCCTTCCAGCCAGTGAGCCCTGGGGGCTGTGGACAGCAGGGTTTGCAATGGGCATTGCAAGGATGCCGGAATGGTACCAGCTGGGCCAGCAGTGCAGCTGGCATCACCCCAAGAGGCTTAGCACATACCCCAGCAGCATCTCGTTGGCCAGGTCAGCCTTAGGTGTTGCGTGAAGTAACTCCGCCTATGGAGTGATTGCTGGGCAGCTCAGCACGCCCCTGCTTAACCAGGCAGAGATGGCAAGAGAAGATTCAGAGACATGATGATTGAGGAAGGCTTTCAGTGAACATGGATGGTGGAGCAGCCAGATGGGAGAGGGTCCCTGAGCAACACAGTGGAAGGCTCTTTCTTAGCATTGCTTTCTCCAGAAATAACATCCCCAAGTCACTCCTGATACTCATCTGGCCTTGCGCTAGCCCCAGCCCGTTAATGTTTAAATCATTGGACAGGGACAGCATGTCGGAGCCAGCACATGGGAGGCGGTGTCAGCACGCAGGAACGGCATCGGGTAGCTGAGCACACGTGAGGTCACCTCCCTGCGCTGGTGGGGCCTGCGTCGCCCGGTGTCGTCAGCGAACCCAGTTCTCATGCTGTTTTCATAAGCACTAGGACGTAGTTGGGGTGAAGTGGTTTTGTGGCGGTAATGCCAGTTCACTTGGTAAAGGGCCTGCTGGGGCTGTGTAACCCCAGGGGACCAGCCAAAAGGTTAAAAGGGGGTATGCTGGCTTCACACTCCTCCATAAAGCATAAAACCTGGCAGGCAGAGACATGGGGTGAGGTACAGCGTGAGCCTGGTGTGTTTGCACACATAAAGCCCCTTTTCCTCCAGAGACATCGTCTCCAGGAGCTCAAGCAGGCCCAAATCTTACAGGGGTGATTGGTGCCATGTTTTACGGTGAGCTCTAGCTGTCTAATAAGGGGAAAAAATACAGTTTCTTTGCAAGCAAACAAAGCTTGACTTTATTGCCTTTAAAGTGCAACTAGCACAAACAGTGGCAAAAGTGCAAACACTGATAATGCTCAGAACATTTTGACCTGTGCAAACAAGCCAGAGGTGGAGGTGTGTGTTGAAATGAAGGGTGAGGGGACCAGGGGGAGGAGATCTCTCTGCCTCAGCAGCTCTGCCAGCACTGCCAGAGCTGCCCAGGGCAGCGATGCTGAGTCTGGGTTGTGGGGTAGGGGCAGCCTCTGGATGAGCAGGGCCGAATGGGAGCCCTGCAGAGCAAAAAATCCCCACAGAGGTGGAATCCAGATGTTATTACAGCATTTTCAGCTTCATCCTGAGGCTATGCCCTACCCCAGCAGTAGGAAGAGCTCCAGAGACACACAGCAGAGCCACCAGGACAAAGTTGTGCATCCCTTGCCCTGTCACTGCCCACATGGAGCATTCCACCAATGTCTCAGATGCGGTGTGGCAGACAGCACGCTACCCCTGCCTTGCTTTTTCCCCATCTTCCCCCACCCCACCTCCTTTTTCCTAGGCAGACAGCTGCACTGCACATGCCTCATGCTCCTTTTGTGCATTGTTCAGCGTTTTCTGTTGCATACAGCTCTCTGAAGTCTTCTCCATCTGACAATCCATAGATGGCTGCTTGTATATCCCAGCCCTGCCCTGCTGACTTCTTGCCTGGAGACCTCAAAACCTTGTTCCTCACCACCCCTGGCCCATTTTGCTCTGTGTAGGGGAAGGTAATGTGCAGGAGACTCAGTCCTTGAGACAGCTTATAGGGAGCCAGAGCACCAGTGATAGGTAGGGATTAAGGTCTAACTCCTCAAGAGAGTTTCAGGCATCTGCCTCGTATTAGGATTACCAACCAGGTTGGGAAAAGCAGGCCACTGCACACTGGCCTAGAAGAAAGCGAGAGACTTTGGTTGGATCACTGGAGAATCAGGCAGGACCCCAGCCTTTATCTTGGCTCCATCCCTCTGAATCCTGATGCACCAGACAGTCTCTCCAGGCTGTTTCTGCTGCCAGGCTGGGAGGGGAAGAGATATGTGCAATCAGGGCAGCCCCTTCCTGCACACATACCCTTGGTCTTTCAGTACAGCCTGCCTCACCCTGACATGAAGGGATTACCAGGTTTTGTGTCTTGTCTAATGAACTCTTCCCTAATGCAGCCCCAGGTGGGGACAAGGGGGAGCTTTTCTTATTTAATCCATTGCCTGCCCCAGTCCTGCATGGGATATCCTGGATTGCTCCCCTTCCCATCCAGGCTGCTGCCTGCCAATTTGGTCATTTCCCCAGCTGCCAGATGCTCCAGCTGATGGGGTCACTGCCAGTCATGAGTTTTCAGGAAACTGGGGACCCAACAAGCCTTTCCCTCTCTTCAAGAGATCAGCCAGGCTTCTGGTACAGGCACCTGTTTTCATACAGCCACAAATACCTGAATACTGGGGAGGAATTAATGTTTTTGCCAGATCTGTGCAAAATCAGCCAGTTCAGCACGTTACTGAGGGAAGGGACAGGCAAACAGAATGACGATACACTCACTTTTGTAAAGCTTGAGAAAACAGGCTGGAGTACAGTACATAACGTGACAGAAAATAGACATATTGGGGTAAGTTCAGTCGCTTTGGGACAAAGTGTTTTTTTTTCCCTTTTAAAGCCAAAGCTTCCTTTACTTTTGCTTCTAATTCTGCCAAGTCTCTTCTGAGTGAAGTTGTAGGGATTTTCCCAGCTGGACTCCATTTTCTGGGAGGAGAGGAAATGGCAGGAGCACCTGCAGAGCCCAGACTTGGAACAGAGAGACAATGCACATTGGACATGACATCTGGGGTAGTTTTACTGAGGCTGGGGGCCAAAGGCAATAAAGGATTAAAACAGGTCAGGCAAGCAAGCAAGGGGTCTTTCTCAGCAGTGTGTTTGCTGGATGATATGGGTGATGCTCCCATGAGAGCTGCATCACTGGAGTGCACCTGGGTGTGCAGATGTACAGCAACAGAGCCCAGGACCTACACCCATCACAGTCATGCTGTCCCATGGTTGTACCTTTGACATTCAAGGAAGAAGCCAGACAAAATGGGTGCTTGGTGCTGTCTGGATTTTGGAGCAAGCAGTAGTTTTCAAACGGGGTCTTTCATTGCTGCTCACCCCAAACACTCACTTTTTTTCCAAAAAAATCACATCACATGAGCTAGTGAGCCCCATAAGCCCCATTTCCCCCCAGCCCTCCCCTACAAGGGGCTTCTCTGCAGTGAGCAGCTGTACCTCACCCGCAGGGTGCTGGAAGCTGTCAAGCTTGAAAATTCACAGCTCTCTGGGGACCAGGAAAGCTATTTCAGTCTTCAAAATTGCAGCAGCCTAAATTATTTCCTGAAGCCTGCATTAAGTTATTCAGGAATCTGGCTGCACAGGTATAAAGAAGCTTGCTCATAATAATGGTACTCTCTGATCATTTTCTTGATTTTTCCCACAGTCATGTTTTTTCCCTGTACTACCGTTATGTGAGGAAATAACCTTATTCAGGATGGAACAGGAGGGGATTTTTGTGTGCATACACACAGCTATATGCACGCCCATCCTTGGCTTGATCCTGACACCATGTTGTCCATGGTGGCAGCTGCATTCACCTGACCTTGGGCAGAAAGGCAACCTGAGTTCTGTAAGAGGTAAAATTTACCCAGGCATGGCTAGCAGGGCAGGTGGGGAGAGCCCTGGAAAGCAAAACTACCATGTCTCTGGAGCACTCAGCATATCACAAGAATGCTAGGGTTTCCTCTGCAGGGCCCCAGGGACAAGAAGCAGGTCAGTGCCCTCCCCACTGGGCAGCCTGTGTCCCAGCCTTACACCAGGGTCAGGCGCCCGCATCACGCGCCAAAGCATCACCACCAACTGGCACTTCACAGCTGCTTTGAGGTGCTGCCAGGGACTGTAGGTCTCCACTGCCAACAAATCAGAGCCATTGTGCTCCATCACTCCCCCCTCTTTCTCCCCATTAATAGCCCCTTTCTGTACCCAGGGAACATGATTCTGCATTATCCCATCCCTCTGTAAACCCCAGCTCTGCTTCAGCCTGCCGGTGCCCACCATAGACGATGTCCCAGCTGGGGTTCTCCATGCTGGCTCTACAGGAAGCGCGCACACATCCAGCCCTGCAAGCTGCCCTCACACCCCCCCCCTCCTCCCCCAAGTGCTTTCATTTTGTGTCAGTGTGTTTGTATTGGAATGGTGCACTCAGAAAAATCATTGTCACTGCAGTATCCATAAGCCCTTCCACCAAAAATGGGTCTTATTCTGTTATTGTTGCAGAAATGTCTCCCCCATGCACCCCACGGCTGGTACCTGGAGCAGCAATGTACAGCAGTGGGCACCCCAACACAAGGGCTCGAGCAGGTGGGTTGTTTGGATGGTCTCCAGGAACACGAGTCACCTAGCCAAGCTGTTGTTCTCATTTGTTATTCAGTGTTAAGGAAATCTGTACCATTCCCCCATCAGCCTCCCCACCCCGGAGGATTAATTGATGCTAACGTCATTTAATTTTGGTCCAGCTGCTGGGCTCAGGAACAGATGTTTTATTGTTCAAAATGAACACAGAAAACCAGAAAGAAAAAACAAAACAAAACAAAACAACCAAAACCCCAACCCAGAAAGCAACAAAACCCCCAAGTAATTTGTGTTTGTGATGAGGTTGGCCACAGCTTCCTTTCCCCAGAAATACAAGGAGACAGAGCAGTAGCCCCAGGGAAGACTGAAGCCTCAAGGAAAGCCAAGATGTACACATCCAGCTTAGTGTCAACCTCCAACATAAGATGCAGCATGGCCTCCAAAAGCCTGCCATGTCCAATAGGCAGGCATTTCCAGCACAGAGCCATTTCCTCGACACTGATAGCCATTTCAGCAGGGATGTGCTACATCCTTCACATCCTCCCAGGAGCAGAGATCCACACTGGTATTTGCAAGGAGGAGTGCAGCACTTGCTTAAGAGCAAGGATACTATCTCCTCCAAAAAGCAAACAAAAATAGGTGCAAAAGTGTGCCAGCAACATGTGCACCTTCAGTGCACAGGCAATGAGCTCACCCTTTTACAGCTCGTGAAAGCAGCCTGTGCATTTGATGCTTCAGCGCAAGAGTGCTGCAGAACCACACATATACACACATTTCTTCAAGGGCATGTCATAGAGGGAGAAGGCCCATCACTTGCTCTGCAGCAGGAGCGGGACAATACCTGGAAATCACAGGCTGGTACAGTCCCGGTCCAGCCAAGCACTCTACTGCATCCTTAAGTGTTTCAGTAAAGCTACCATCAGGCAAGCTATGGAGCAAGTGGAAAACACTTCCCTGGCTACCAGAGAGAGATTTAAAATAAAAATAAAACCAAAAAAATCACAAAAAAAAAAAAAAACACCAAAAAAATCACCTTGCTAAAAAGGCAAAAAAAAGAACCCCTAAAGCCACAAAAGTTAATAGATGTCAAATACTCATTTTCAATTTAGCATAATAACCCTATAGGTAAGAACAGAACTTCTCTCATGAAGAACTGAGAAACACTAGTATATGTTATACAAACTGGGGAGGAGCTACCAGAAGGACAAGCACAGCTGTGCTCCTTCACTCACTTGCAGAAGCACTTGTGCTGTAGGTGAGACCTGGCCCCAGAATTAACAGGCTCTGAAACACCCACAGCAAATTGCTTGGGTAATTTTCTCTACATGGCCAATGCAGAAGGGACAGGGCTGCTTGTGAGGCCAACGGGAGTGTTGACACCTCCTGGTGTGTGCCGTATGCTTGACATTATTTCTGGCAGCATATTGTGTTTTCTCCCTGTTCCACAAGAGGGGGGTGGTAGGGGCCCAGTCCTATATACAACCGCATGAAATACCCCAGTCCCACCTGGGAGACCATTCTGGGCCTGGGAAGTAGTGCATGGTTTCAAAAGCCCCAGCAGGAGAATGACCAAAGCATCTTCTCTTAACAAATCATTGGTGGGGCTTTCTGTGTTTGCAAATAAAATAGACCTCAACCATGAAGAGTCCTGTCTTCTGCAGTATCTATCCGCATTGTAAATCCAGCTGCCAAGACCTGCTCAGGATCAGTGCCAGATGTGACTGACCCCATGAGAAGAATGCTGTTGGGAGAAGGAATCTGTAAGGGAGAACCAAAATATGATCAGTGAGAACCTGGAGGTGGAAAATACCCATTGGATCATTCACCCCTTCTCATTCAGCTGGGCAAGCAGCAAGGATACAAAGTCAATATGCATCCCCCCTTTGCTTGGCAACAAGTTGCTCCTAGTTCAACACAACCTCCCTGCATCCCACCTCTGGCCCATGGATGCTTCGCTCCTGCTCTAAGGCTGCTGCCTGCAGCATCCCAGCTGGCTTGACAGCAGCCCATAGCCACAGGCGTTTCGTAGCTGCGAGTGGACAAAGGGAGGTGTTGGAGAAACCATCACAGCAAGCCACCGGGATTTGGTGTCTACAGGGAGCAGTGCTGGCCCACAAGCCACCTCATTTGCAAGCAGAGTCCCTGGAGGGGGATCCAAAGAGGTCACTGAAACCTTCAGGCAGTGACATTATATGGGGACATGCAGGGAGGCAAGGAGAGGGCAGAATCCAGCCCCATTCCCCACACAAGCGAAGCCAGGGCAGGATAGCTGCAAACCCGGAGCTGGGTCAGCTATAGGTAGAGAGCCTGAAAGGAGATGTCGGAAGGAGATGGCATGGAAAATATTTACTCTGTGAGGTCATTGTACCCTTGGCTTCTCTTTGGAGGGGACTTTGAACACAGGAGGGCAGATGTTTCCCGCATGCTTCTGCAGACGAGAGACTGTGGAAAGCAGGCGCTTCCCTTGGCTGGAAAGAGGAAAACCACAAGTGGAAAGTTCCGTGCATTAGGCAAAGCAACTGAGCCTTCAGCTGCTGGTTGATGGGTGCTTGCTATTAGTGGAACAGCCTGCTTTGGGAAAAAAAAGGGAATGAATCTTTGACAACAAGGCCTAGAAAAACAGAGAGGACGCCTCAGAGCAGAGCCATGGACCAGCAGCAGTTTGACACCCTGGAGGTGCAGGCAGTCACTGGGTTCTGTACTAGAGGGAAAAAAAATCACCCCCAAACTGTAGAGTGTTGGAGGTGAAGTGTGAGCACAGGGTGAGGGGAGCCCTTGCTCTCAGCACAGACAGGCAGAAAGGACTCAGTATGCCAGTGGGGCATCCCCTGCCTATTCTGCTGCCCTATGGAGGCAGCCATCCTCTCCCCATCACATCATCCTGTGCCACCACACCAGGGAAGGGTGGCTCAGAAAAAGAGATCCCAGTCCCCAAGTCTGAGGTGAAACAACAGGCCATACATAACAAGGTACGTATTCCCTGATGCTAGCCCACACAGCAGCCCTGGCAGCCACAGATTGTGCCCTGTTTCTAGCAATACCAACAGGGCTTTGCATCCCCTTCTCCTGGGGTTTGGCTCCCTGGCACAGAGATCCTACCTTTGAGGCTCAGGCTGTGGTTTGAATATTGATCCTATTGACTCTCATCAGTGTATGTATCTCTGAATGAAAACAACTGGCCCCATGTGGATGTGATCACCACTGGGTGCTCAGGCCACCTGAACCAGATGATGCCAAACATTTGAGTAGCTCAAGCAGGGAAAACCATCTCCTAAAGATCATAAGGAAAAGCAGAGGAAAACGTTTCACACCTCCCAAGTAGCAGCTTCAAACAACAGCTCTCAGCACATCGTGCTTGTCCTAATTGCTGGGCAAATTGCTTGCCTTAAAGCAAGCAAAGCAATGATCTGACGCTCTTTGCTCTTGCTATGCTTTGCAGTTGAGTAAGCATCCAAGGGGACAGTTTCTCTCTTTATTTCAAGTTGAACTTATAAAGTGGCAATTTTGCCGTGGGGGGCTGTGGCTCCATCACCCCTTGCAAGTGAAAGCAGCCAGTGGAAGCTCCCAGAGCTGCCAGCGGTGATTCAGAAGGTGGGGCTTCCACCCGCCTGACTCACTTGCTGTCATGCCCCAGTCCTAGTGAGATACTTCCTTTGCATCACTTGTAGCTGGAGATGATGAAGAGATCTGAGGTATGTTCTCAAGAAGATGTGCTGTACCATTTTAAGCCCCCACACATTCCTCTTTGCTAGATTTCTTCCCCCTCCTCAGCTTTGACTCACTACGTTGCTCATCACTCCATTCAGCAAGCATGGTACACCTCAGCCTCCTCTTAGATGTATTTGAGCTCCTCACCCCTCCTCAGCTTGTCCCAGTCTCATCTCAGCATCCCCACAACGCAGCTCCCTTGGGGCTGGGGGGGAGGGAGGGGATGGGGGGGGGGGGGGAGTGGAAAAGAGAGAGGACATTTTCCTACCAAAAAAAATTCCCCTCTGAGATCATTTGCACCAAGAGGCCTCTGGCACCCTGTGCCAGCCTGGGACAGGGTCTTCAACAACCTGACTTCCAGGGTGCTCTTCTAGGAGCAGTAACAGCAGGAGGGCTGTCCTCTGCTCACCACCTTGCTGGTCCCCAGCTCTTCCACACAGAGCCGTAGCACCCACCCACCCTGCTGCCCCTCACCTTAGCCGGGCACCACCACGGCTGGGACACGAGCTCTGGCTCAGCTGTTGACTCCAGCTTACCCCTGAGGAGAAGGATGGGGACCAGGAGCTACTCCGGGCTCCAGGGTGGAATTTCACTTCAGTGACCTCGTGCCTCCAGCACACCCTAAAAATACAAATAAACTAACGGGCAGCAGGAAACCCACCCTGATTCCCACAGAGGGTGGCTCAGCCAGGCCCTCCCTGCGCTGGCTGCTTCCTCCTTTGTGAAAGAAATTGAGCGGGGGGGGGGGAATGGAAAGGCCAGATCCTGTCCTTCCCTGATGTAAGCTGAGGAGTATATTTAGAAATTGATTTGCGCCAATTTGCTGAATACCTGGACGTGGGGTCAGGAGAAGAAGGCAGGCTCCATGTCCTTATACTCCTTGCTGTGCTAAGCCAGACCAGTCAGACTTTTCCTATCTCACTTGGGCCCTCCTGTCCCTCTGACTACCCTGGTGTCCCTCTCATCCAAAGCATTCTACTGCAGATAGTCCAGGCTGGGTGCAGCAGCACCCCCCCCAATGCCATAGGAAAACCATCCCTACCCACCAAGAGCACCTCACTCTCATAGTGTCCTTGCCTTCAGACATCTCCTGCCACTTCAGCAAGACCTCTTCTTCCCCATCTTCACCTAAGCAGCTTCATGCTCTGTGTTAACTAATTTCATCCCCACTCCTACCTTCCCAGGTCTCCCCAGCTGCCACACTTAGGCTCATCTCATGGTCACTGCCTGGGCTGCAGTGACCATGAGATGGAGGAGTTTAGGATCCTGTGTGGGAGGAATAGAATACCTAGCAAGGCCACATTTCTGGATTTCTGAAGGGCAAACTTTGGCCTCTTCAATCAATTGCTAAGGGAAGTATCATGGCAAAGGGTACTAGGTGGTAAAGGGGCTCAAGACAGTTGGTCGGCATTCAAGAACCACTTCTTCAAAGCTCAGGATCAGAGTGTCCCAGCGAGTAGGAAGTCAAATAGGGGAGCCAGGAGACCAACATGGTTAAACAAGGAACTGCTGGGCAAACTCGTACGGAAAAAGAGAATCTATGGATTATGGAAGGAGTGGCTGGCCACTTGGGAGGAATATAGGACAGCTGTTAGAAGATGTAGGGAAGCAATTAGGACAGCTAAGGTGTCCTTGGAACTTAATCTGGCAAGTCAGGTCAAGGACAATAGAAAGGGCTTCTTCAAATACATAGCAAATAAAACTAACACAAGAAGCAGTATAGGCCCACTGCTGAATGAGGTGGGTGCCCTGGAGACAGAGGATATAAAGAAGGCAGAGGTGTTGAATGCGTTCTTTGCCTCTGTCTTTACTCCTGCGGACTCTCCTCGGGGGACCCAGATTCCTATAGCCCCGGAAGGAGTCAGGATAAAGGAGGAGTTTGCTTTGGTAGATGAGGATTGGGTTAGGGATCAGTTAAGCAATCTGGACATCTATAAATCGATGGGTCCGGATGGAATACACCCGCGGGTGCTGAGGGAGCTGGCGGAGGTCATTGCTTGACCACTCTCCATCATCTTTGGTAAGTCGTGGGAAACAGGAGAGGTGCCTGAGGATTGGAGGATGCAAATGTCACACCGGTCTATAAGAAGGGCAAGAAGGAGGACCCGGGTAATTATAGACCGATCAGCCTTACCTCCACCCCTGGGAAGGTGATGGAACAACTTATTCTTGACACCATCTCTAGGCATATCAAGGATGAGGGGGTCATTAAGAGCAGCCAACATGGCTTTACCAAGGGGAAGTCATGTTTGACCAACCTTATAGCCTTCTATGAGCAAGTAACTAGGTGGATGGATGATGGTAGAGCGGTAGATGTGTTTTTTCTTGATTTCAGTAAGGCATTTGATACTGCCTCCCACAGCATCCTCATAGATAAGCTAAGGAAGTGTGGGCTTGATGATCAGGTAGTGAGGTGGATCAAGAACTAGTTGGAAGAAAGAAGGCAGAGAGTTGTGGTCAATGGGGCAGAATCTAGCTGGAGATCTGTGACTAGTGGAGTCCCTCAGGGGTCGGTGCTGGGACCAGTGCTGTTTAATATTTTCATCAACGACCTGGATGAGGGAACAGAGCGTACCCTCAGCAAGTTTGCTGATGATACTGAACTGGGAGGAGTGGCTGACACACCAGAGGGCTGTGTTGCCATTCAGCGAGACCTGGACAGGTTGGAGAGTTGGGCAGAGAGGAACTTGATGAAATTCAACAAGGGCAAGTGTAGAGTCTTGCACCTGGGGAAGAACAACCCCATGTACCAGTACAGGTTGGGGGCTGACCTGCTGGACAGTAGTGAAGGGGAAAGGGACCTGGGGGTCCTGGTGGATAGGAGAATGACCATGAGCCAGCAATGTGCCCTTGTGGCCAAGAAGGCCAATGACATCCTAGGGTGCATTAGGAAGGGTGTGGTTAGTAGGTCAAGAGAGGCTCTCCTCCCCCTCTACTCTGCCTTGGTGAGGCCGCATCTGGAATATTGTGTCCAGTTCTGGGCCCCACAGCTCAAGAAGGACAGGGAATTGCTTGAAAGAGTCCAGCGCAGAGCCACAAAGATGATTAAGGGAGTGGAGCATCTCCCTTATGAGGAGAGGCTGAGGGAGCTGGGACTCTTTAGCTTGGAGAAGAGGAGACTGAGGGGTGACCTCATCAATGTTTACAAATGTAAAGGGTGAGTGTCAGGATGATGGAGCTAGGTTTTTTTCCGTGATGTCCAGTGATAGGACAAGGGGCGATGGGTGTAAACTGGAGCATAGGAGGTTCCATGTGAACATCAGGAAAAAATTCTTTACTGGGAGAGTGACAGATCACTGGAATGGGTTGCCCAGGGGGGTTGTGGAGTCTCCTACGTTGGAGATATTCAAGGTCCGCCTAGACAAGTTCCTGTGTGATGTACTCTAGGTTACCCTGCTCTTGCAGGAGGGTTGGACTAGATGATCTTTTGAGGTCCCTTCCAACCCTTAGGATTCTGTGATTCTGTGATTCATCAATACTCAGTCCCCACTTGGAGGTTGTTACCAGAAACCACCCATAAGCCCCATACTGCTCTAATTAATATAACTTGTGACTGAGAAATCTTTTCTTCCCACCCTCCTCCTCTTACCTCCGGGAACATAGCAAAATCAGGACGGAGGTGCCCTGCTCTGCCTTTGCAGATGCACAGCAGCACATGTCCCCTTGCATGTCCCCAGCCAGCATGCCACCAGTCTCAGGAATGGGCAACTGAAGGGGACAGCAGGCAGCGGAGGTCATGGTTTCCCTTGAGCCCAGCAGTAAATAAGCTCTCCAGAGTAGCAGGGGAGGGAGGAGGGCAAAAAGCCCAAGCAAGATGTATTTTTGCAAGCAGGCAGATTAGGAGCTGGCAGCAGGCACAGCAGAGCTGGTGTTATCTGTGAATGGGTGCAGGCTGTTACCCGCAGCTCCGGCTGCTGCCAGAACAGGGAGGTGGGGAAGGGGAGGTTGGGCAGAGATGTTTGCTCCTCGGCCAATGGCTATTTCTGACTTTGAGAGCCTTCAGCTGAGACCAGAGGGGGTTTACAATCAGCACTTGGATGCTTACAACTCAAGGAATATCCACTCACCCTGGACTGAAGAAGCTGCCCTGTCTTCAGACCCTTGGAGCAAGCTCCCCTCACCCTTCCCATCACTCGTGAACCCCTGCTGGCAATGCCCCGTGCCCAGGGACATGCTGTTCCATGCACTGACACCCCAAGGAGCCACCAGCCTAGTGAAGTCCCCAGGCAGGCAGCAGCAAATGCAGGGAGCTGATTGAGTTACAGGCCAGAAGTTGTATCAAGTTTACCAGCTCCCTGCTGCGTATCCTGTACTGGGAGGATTCCTGGAAGCAGGAGCTGATTTCACACACCCTCCCCATGCTGCACAAACACACAGGCTATGCCAAAGGCTGATCTCTGCACGTGACCACTGCTGCTATTACCCAAGCGGCTGGCAAGGAGCAGCCACCCCCTTCTTGCTCTCCTCATCCTCCCCTGGCTGTACGCCTCCCATCTGCAGCACAGGGCTGGCCACATGCCTTTTTTTATTCCATTTTTTACAAGAGCATGTACTGACAGGACAAGGGGGAATGGCCTTTAACTGAAAGAGGAGGGATTTAGATTAAATACTAGGCAAAAGTTCTTTACCGTAAGGGTGTTGAGACACGGGAACAGGCTGCCCAGAGAAGGTATGGCTGCCCCATCCCTGGAAGTGTTCAAGTTCAGGCTTTGAGCAACCTGATTTAGTGGAAGATGTCTCTGCCTGTGGCAGGGATTGGAACTAGATGATCTTTAAGGTCCCTTCCAGCCCAACCATTCTATGATTCTATGAAAATTGAGTTAAAATTGAGCTAAAATGATTGATACAGAGACCAAATAT